AGTGGTATTTACCAGGTGAAAGCAGAAGCGTAAGCCTCCTTTTCCATCTTCAAATCTTGCCAATGTAAATTAATCAGGAACCAGGATAAGAGTCTCAAATAACTTCAATTTCCTAGTTACAAGGATGCAGAAAACTAGGCCAGCCCTCTGCTTGTTTGTTATCTGAAGAAATAAAAAAACTTACAGTGCTGGATGCTAAGTTGATATTGCCAAACACCCAAGCTCCCTCAGGCCTTTTAGGCACATGCACTGTAAAACCGGATCATGCCAGGAGCATGGAAGGTGCTGCAGGGGCATCTGCAGAGGGAGTGTTTTGCCCTGGCCCTGCCTCCCCACGCTCCCACCACAACAGCCAGTGGGGGGAGAAGCCTGCCTTTCGGGGAGTGTAAGAGCTGCTGCACGCAGGCATTGGGAGTTCAGCCAGCCACCTCCCCTTCTGAACTGGTCAAAACTGTAATAAAACTCCCTAGGTAAAATTTGGTGTCTCTCTGTCTCACCTACTCTTAAAACTTCCTGTGATGAGGGCACTACAACCTCTCTCAGAAAGCTGTTTTCATGCTTAACTATCCAAACACTCACAAAGCTTTTCCTAGCACCTATCTCCATATCTTCCTTGCAACAAATTAAGCTGATTACTTCTTGTCCTATTCCCAGTGGACACAGAGAACAATTAATCACTGTCTTCTTAAAACACGCTCTTAAATACTGGAAGACTTTTCACGTTCCTCGTCAATCTTCTCTCTAGAATAAACCAACCCGGTTCCTGGAGCCTCTCCTCACAGATGACACTCACCGCCCTGGCTGCCCTCTCCTCATCTCTTTCCACTGTTTCTGGTTTTGATGCTCACACCAGATGCAGAGCTCTGCTATGGGTTCAGCAGCGGCTGCTAGAGTAGAAAAACTACTGCCTGTGCACTACACGTGACATTCCCATCAAATATACCCTAAAATGAGATTTGCTTTTTTGCAACGTCACCACACTGTTGACTCACATGCAGTCTCTGACTCACTGTGGTGCCTCCCAGATCCTTTCCTGTAGTTCTGCTGCCTGGCTTGTTATCCCCCATTTTACATGTAGGCATTTGATTTCACCTTCCCAAGTGCAGTAGTTTTCATTTGTATTTAATAAATTTCTCCTTATCGAATTCAGACCATTTTCTAGTTTAATAGGTACAGGACCTACATTGTGCCAAGAAAGTGGATCAACTTCCTGCCTCATGTTACACATTGGCACCAAAGACAGCATGGAAGGCCGAACTGCTGGGTTCAGGCGAACTTCCTAGAAGCTATTGTCTTATCAAAAGCCAATCAATTTGTTACTGCCTTTTCGCTCTGCATTTCTACCTGACACACTGTTTCCTTAGTAAACAAACAGTAGCTCACTCTAGCCTCATAAAATACATTAATTCTATGAAATTATAATCCACTGCCAAAAAGTACTGCAACATCTTGGGCACCACGTCACTCTATGACCCTAGCTATACAAAACAGAGCTACCAGCAACTCACTAACTAGGTTGTATCAACCAAGAAGGAAGACAAGGGACACGTTTAAAAACCTATTTATATTGAGCTAAATTCTTAAGACCCAGCTCAACAAAATTATGCCTTTTAGTCCACTGTTGTTAGAGACACCATCAATATGTATTTGATTAATGACTTAGAGGAAATTACATCAAGGATCAATTTGTTTCCTTGCTTTTTTCCATAAAGCCCTTAACATTCGATTCTCAGATATGCAGCAGGTATTTTAAACGCATATGCCTGGGATTACATTGTATCATACCCTCTTTCAAAGTGCCTCATGAGCTGACCAGAGAAGTGAGCAGATTTTGATTCCAGGACTTCAATGCACTACAAGGAATACAGAGTCCCTTGAGAAGGTTGGCCTTAGTTCCACCACACGATTCCTGCATTCCCCAAATCTGTCCCCCCAGAAAAGTCAAAACAATATTTTCTTTTTCTTCATGGTCTACAAAAAGATTGCAGTAACTTGCTATACTAACACAACAATTACAAAAAGGGGAGTATTTCTCTCTTTCACAAATTAAAAAGGATGTGAAGGTCCTTGAATGCATCCAGAGCAGGGCAAGAGAGCTAGTGACAGTGCTGGAAGTCATGTTCTATGGGGAGTGGTTGGGGCCTCTGGGGTTGTCTAGTTTGGAGAAAAGGAAGCTGAGGGGTGACCTCACTGCTGATCTCTCGGCTATGCAGTGACAGGATGTGTAGGAATGGTTCAAGACTGCAGAAGGGGAGGCTCAGGACAGATATTAGGAAACACTTCTTTACAGAAAAGGTGAACAAACATTGGAACAGGCGTCCTAGAGGGGTGGTTGATGCCCTATGCCTGTCAGAAGCATTTGCACAATGCCCTTAATAAGATGCTTTAACTTTTGGTCTGCCCTGAAGTGGTCAGGCAATTGGACCAGATGATCACTGCAGATCCCTTCCAACTGGAACTATTCTATTCTCAGACACATGGAGACTTCCTTTCAGGGAGCTTATAATTTACAAATGATAACTCTGACTTTTCAGTGAATGGCCAAAGTGATGACAGTATGAAATCTGGTCTGACACATTCTGGGAAAGAACTCGAGACTTCTGCTTCTTAAGTTAATACTTAAGGACCACCTTGCCTACTTTGCTGACACTCCATACCACTGCAGTGATGTTCGTGGGTCATGCACCAATACATGCTGAGGGCCACCTGCCTGAGAAGCAGCTTTGCAGAAAAAGACCTGGGGGTCCTGGTGGACACCAAGTTGAACACCAGCCAGCAATGTGCCCTTGCACAAATGAAGTCTCCTGGTATCCTGGACTGCATTAAGAGTGTTGCCAGCAGCTTGAGGAAGGGGATCTTTTCCCTCTCCTCAGCACTGGTGAGGCCAAACCTGGAGTGCTGTGTGCAATTTTGCCCACCCCCTTGAAGTACAAGAGAGATATGGAAATAATGGGTACAGTCAAACAAAAGGGCCACAAAGAGAACTGAGAGCATCTCTTACATGAAGAAAAGCTCAGAGAGCTAGGACTGTTCCGTCAGGAGAAAAAAAAAGACTCACGGGGGATCTTATCAATCTATACAAATACCTGGAGGGAGGGTGTAAAGTTGACAGAGCCAAGCTCTTTATAGTGGTTCCCAGTGACAGGACCAGAGGCAAGGAGCACAAATGGAAACACAGAACATCCTATCTGAACATCAGGAAACACTTGTTTATTGTGAGAGTGACTGAGTCCTGGCACAGGTTGCCCAGAGAAGTTATGGAGTCTCCCTCCTTGAAGATATTCAAAAGCCATCTGGATGTGGTCAGCTTTTCTAGGTGGCCATGCTTTGAGCATGGTTGGATCAGATGACCTCCAGAGGTCCCTTCCAACCTCAACCATTCTGTGATTCTGTGGGTTTCACCAGCAGGTCAAAAATCTTCCTGGGAAAGCGTTGCTCCATGGCTTAATCTGCTCCTTTTCAAATGTGTCCTAATGCTACAGCAGATCCTTCTGCAGCCTGATACTGCAGATGGTGCAAAAAGGAATTTAGTAGCCAGGACTTCTCAGGACAATGATGCCATTTTGCTTATTGTATGATCTGACCGAGATTTTTGCACAATGATTTTAATTCAGACTTAAGCAATGCTCAGACAGATCAGATAGGTTATTCCCTCCTTTCCATTATTTCCCAGAACTAGTGAAGACAAAGCACAGTGGTCAAAAGAATACAAATCAAACTGTTTAATGTCATAAGAACATATTGCTCATATCAGCAGAGGCTTATTCCAGATAAAATCTCAACACTAAAGCAAGGACTTATCTTCCCTATGAATCCCTAACACCTGAAAGTATAAAAGGAGGGCAGCACAGCCTCCCACTGGCTCTTCCAGTCTAATGAACAGAAGACAGCTCAACCAAGCAAGGGCGGGAGATATCACAATCCTGTCTCACCTTTCAGTGCTCTGAGGACCAGAAGAGAAAACGTTAAATGTGCACATCACAGTTTTATACTCGTGTTCAGTGACTGACTCATCCACATGCAGTAAATGGAGGTCAGTTGAACTACTAAATATCTGCGAGTAACAAGAGCAAGTATACCATTAGGACTGGTGCCTTAACTTGCACCACAGCTTGATTAATTTATAGATACAACAGTAACTACAAGAGTAGAAAATCAGCAGAGTGCCAAACTGAACAGAAAGCCTCTTGAACCATAACACGCCTTGGAAAAAAAAAAAAGTCTCTCTTCCATTTTGCTTTTTTTAAAAAAATGAGGCATTTTGTTACTTTTTTTTTTTTAAGAAAGCACAGTTGGCGACCTGGTAATTTCCTTAGCACACATCAGTTGAAAACTGGAAACAAGATTCCCCCTTAAGACAAGTGAAGGACTCTAAACTTAAGGTGAAGAGGTTTTTCACCAGCCCTTTCCTTGTTTTCCTCCATGACTAGTCATGAAGACAGCTGACAGAAAGTCCTTCTATACATCCCTCACCAGATCCCATTCCTCCACGCTCCATTGAGTTTCTGCAGCTCAAGCAGATTCCTTTTTCCCCTGAAATCAATGTTTAATTAACACATTATTGGGAAAAAAAAAAAAAAAAGGTCTGCAATAGCAGACTGAAGCAAACCCAGCACCTCCCTGCTCTGCAGATGTAGTCAGTCCCACCAGACATACACCGCTGGAGGAGCTCTCCTCATCCTCCCTCAGCTGCCGGCAAGCATCATCCTCTTGCTTAGTTACCCTCCTTTCCATTTTTCCATTCCCATGGGACTCTTCCCCTCCTTCAAGTGTTTCACAACAGCAGGAAAGACAGACAGTAGAGGGAGAATGGGAGCAAGTGCTCTCTGGGTAGCCTCACAGTATGACCAATGCCTCACCTTTAATCCTGCTATCCCCATCAGAGACGCACACCAATTCCCCTGATGACACCACCACTCCCTCCACCCCTCATCAACAGAGCAACAGGATCAGCAGTGCAGTGGAAACAGGACCATATACACTTTGCCATGAGCAGAGGATGCTCCCATGGTCAAACTCACAAACACGTTCTGGGACTAAACACAGCTATATACATACCCAACAGCAGTGGAGAAGCTACCAGCAGCTTCAAAAGGTTTACATCATACCTCCCCCCATCCTCATCAATTATTATTCTATCCCATTCCTTGGCTCTCATCCGGCTGCTGGGAGGTACTTGGATGCAGGGGATGCTGCAGCACTGTCAAGGGCATTATGAGGCAGGCCTAGATCTAGAGCGCCCTCCCTGCTCAACACACAGGCACCCTCACTACAGTGTTGGTGCAGCAGGCAAGAGACAATAGAGTCCATGAACTCCTGGGCTGGGCTGGGCTGCCCTAGTTATGAAGAGATACATCAGGATCTTTGAAAGAGTCTACTATCCCAGCACTGTCATTCCCAGGATCCAAAGCTACCAGTGTTAATTAGTTCCCGTGATGTGATGGATGACAAGCGGCAGGGCCAGGAATGACACAAGCAGATTGTGCTCAAAATAAGCCATCCCTCACCATCAAGGGCAGAGGAAAGGAATTTGGAAAGGACAGGAGCTGAGCACACTGCTGCGAGATGGCAGGTATGCTGACAGAAACCCCCTCATCCCTGACGTCCCTTCCCAATACCCTGGCTCACTGCTGCTTCCAGCAGACAAGAAACAGGCAGGGGAGTGTGCCTGGGAGAGAATTCAGGCACAGCACTGTGAGAGACAAGGGGAAAGCTCTAAGAGACATGGGGAAGCAAGGCAGATGAAGGGCTAATCCACCCTGTAGCAAGGGGCCACATTTCAGACAGAGTTGAACTTCTACCGGCTGTAAGCACACCTCCACCACCCTCTGCAAAGCCACACAGCGATGCCTGCAGCAGCCCATAGTCCCGAGAGGCTGCAGCCTTTAGCCCAGACAGAGGACTCTGCCAAGCTGGCTGTGTGGTGTACAGTTCCCAACAGCTGTCCACAGTGCTCAGAGCGCACCTTTTACTGTGAATGGCAAAAAAAAAAGAAATTGTATCCCCACCTTCCCCTAAGGAAGAATGCAGGATCTCCCAACATCACTGGCGCATTTCCACTAGGAGTCTTATTGTTCAACTTCTCAAGCACACCACTACAGGGGCCTTGCACTTGGTCCCTAATAAACACCAGTAAAACCATACTCAGGCTAGCCCAATGTAAAGTAATAATAATAATAATAAAGGGTACAAAGGAAGAGCAGTAAAACCCCATCCACTGCCCACAACAAGGAAAAAGGCAGAATAAAACCTGCTATATTGCCCTTCTACGAGCATGTCTTGGTCTGGCTGTTTGGATTGGCGGTGAGTGGCCAAATCACCACCTTTAGATCTCAAAATCCTTTACACATGTGTTGCCTATGCCCATGGGAGGAGAAAACAGAGAAAAAAAACAAATGTCCTGACCCAAGATTCTGTAGTGTGTTTCAAGCAGCTGCCAGTCCCTCAAGCAGCTTGGTTTCCAAAATGCAAAATACTTTCCTCACAATTTGCTGTATGAATGAAGAGCCAACTCTGCTGGATTAACAGACTGCTATTAACTGGAAGAGGGGGATGAGAGGGAGAACTGATAAAAATTTCCAAAGCTTAACCAAAATTTGTAATTTCTGGCACCAGCTGCATTGGCAATACTCCCAAAATAAAGCCTGACTCTTCTCTATGCTGATGGTGACAGGGGCAGATAGTCAGATGCATTTTGTTTTTAAATTAAACACTGTGTCTCTTGAATCATCATCAGAGGCCACTTCTCATCCCAGCTTTTGGTCATCATAAAGTTTCTGGCTCCTTCAGCTTGTTCTTAGCCAGCTATGTGGCCTTACCCTTCCTACAGCATATCACAGCTCAACGAGTACCCAGACATCTACCTGCACATGCCCAGAGTGCAGAGCTGACGAAAAGGCAAATGGAAGCAAATCAAGGGAGGGAAATACACTCTGCTTCAAGACAGGTGAACTCACAAGCCCAAGAGAAGGCTGCAAAAAACAAAAGCAAGTTCAGTAGACCCACCAAAACAACCACTGATGCTACAAGAAAGGGATTAAATTCTCCCTTCTTCAGGCAAGAGCCAGAAGATCTTGTGCAGTCTGAAGGTGTCCTCTGTTGAGGGTTTAAATCCAATCCTAACACAAAAAGAACTGCCTGCACCTCATGGCTTGGTAACTTGCTTGGACGAGGAGGAAAGTAAAGGAGAGAGGAGACATACTCATTTCCACTAGCGCAGGGACTTAGGTCTTAAAATTCACCATCATCACTACCACAAATTACCCTGGCACCACCTCTTATCCTCTGAATGCTCTGCAGGAACTGAGTTACCTCTCTCACTTCAAGGATGCTAGTCATTCAGGGTCAGAAATAAGTTCCAGTGCTGTGCAAGTTCATTCTGTTCCATTGGCTGTGCCAGCTCAAGGAAGGGAAAACACCACAGTCAGAGACTGGTGAACTACAAAACTTATGTTGCAGTCATTGAAGTTCACCTACAATAATTTCTTCCAACCTTTCCTATTCCTACTACCTATTCATAAAAGGAGGTTTGCTGTGCCACAAGAACACACCAGTACCTTGGTCGCTGGGGAAATCGAGGAGCCATAGAAACATGGCCCACCTTCACCCTGCAGGGTACCAGGGAGGCAGCCTCCCAAGGGCAGCAGGCATGTGGTCCCTTGCAGTCTCCTCTGCCTGTTGTTCAGCTGGCCAACGTATCATCTTCAGCATCAGTCATGGCTGGACTACAAGCACAAGAGCTGCACCATGACAACCATTTCTGAAGAGACTGGGGTAAAGGGGAGGGCAGGGAGAGATCAAAAAGCAACTACTGGTGAAGCTGGGCAGCTGAGGCAAGATTAGGTCTGGTGAACACAAAGCAGGGGAGTGGGGGAAACTGGTATCTCTCCAGGTATCACCAACATCAACAGCATGGGACCTTCCTGGCTACAGTCTAGGTAGCACCTCAAGGTCAGAAAGGAAGGAGAAAAGCAAAAAGCAAACAACAATAGCCCTGGACAGATTTATTTATTCAGCTTTGCTATTGCTCCATGAAGTGGAAAGATCCAGAAACCCGGAGACCTCAGAGCAGGCACAGCCACACATGGAAGATGAGAAGTAGTGGCTGGTGGAGCTACCTTCCTCCCCCAGCTCCCCTCTGTGTGGGTGCAAGCAGCCCATAACCAAGCAAGGAGGTCCTTTGCACCCAGAGAAGATACTGAGCGGGTCTGAGAGCTTTGGAGAGGGTCCTGGCTTGTCTGAAAGCCAGGAAAAGCCTCCCTCTTACTGCCCCAGCTCCCCCACCCTGGCACAAAAGCCACCGCAACCACCAGCTGAGGCTTGCCTGGCCCGTCCCCATGCTCTAGCTGGGGGGGGAGGAATGAAGGAAGGAACGAATGGAGGAAGAGACTCCCATTTTCCTTTGCTCCCCCACCCCAGCGTATTCCCTGTTAGACCCGAAAAACCGTGGCTCTCTTGCACATACTACAGCAGAAACACAAGGAGCTTCCCTCCCCCCAGCCTCCAGCAGGGACTGCATGGAAATGGCGATATTCCTGTATCGTCTGGATCAACGGCACGGATAAGCTGAAAGGGGGCAAGGGAGGATGGCATAGGAGAATGAGGTGGGAAAGCTTTGTTTGGTGCTGGCTCCAGTGCAGCCCACCCCGTCTCTCCATTGCAATGCCCTCCAATTCGGACATGCAAGGAGGAGTTGGGGAGGGGGCCTGGGGTGCTGATGAATTTTGTTTCCTCCATCAAGAGGATGGCTCACTCCCCCAGGCATGCCTGGTTCTGCCAGAGCTCCCTGGAGTAACCTTTATTCCAGTGTGTCGCAAGCATGTATTTCACGGATGGTTACACTGAATCATTATCACCAGACGTTCATTTGACCAAAATAATGTTATTAGCATCATCAGGTCCATTTCCCCCCCCAATTCCTCCCTCCCCAGTACACATATGCTCCTTCCGATCCTCAGGCCCCTGCTATCCACATAGGGCACACCCCTTTCGACACAAAATCTCATGATGTGTGACACAATGTCCGGCGAAAGAGAGCGGCAAGAAGGGCTGGCGAAATGGATGGACGTGCCTTTGGCATTTACTGTGTTCCCTGCCCTCTGCCAATGTTTATCAGCCGCACGCACACACACAAAGACGCAAAAAATCAGAATTAAATCACGGCCTGTCCTAGGTACATGACTATGGGTGCACCAGTGTGTGCACGGGTGCCCAAGCTGCGGTCACAGCCCTATCGGGAACCCAAATCCGTGTGGCACAAAGCAAAGGTCATCGTGCCACTGTTGTGATGCACTAAAAAAAAAGCCGCAGAGCCATCAGGATGTAACACAGAATTTTCTCGTCAAGGGATGAGAAACCTTTGAGGGGGTGGGGGCTGGGAGAAGGAAAGCGGGTGTGCGGATGGGGGGGATGGGGGGGAAATGGCAGAAAATGGGGAGGAAAATGAAGAATACAAAGCTCCACTTCGCTAATCCAAGATAGACAATCCATCCCTTCCCCCCTCTCTACGCCCTCCCTCCCCCCGAAATGTTGGTGCAGATGGATTTCTGTATCTTGGTTTTGCAGCAGTGGGTCTAATGACTCCCATACCGAACCCCCTCGCGATGATAACCCCTCCCACTACTTTTTTTTTTCTTTTTTTTAGACCAGGCTGAAGAATAATGTGTTTTTAGAGATAATGGGTTTTATAAAAAGAAAAGGGACGCAGCGCAGACATTATGCGAATAAGCTGCTCCTCGCATCAACCCCATCTTCCCCCAACCACACATCCCAATTTCACCCCCTCACATCATTCTCCAGCCTTCCCTCATCGGCTCCCCCAAGGAAAGGAAAAAAACCCACAACATGATCTGGGTAGCCGATCTCAAAATCCCAAGCACTAATCTGCTTGAATTTGTTCTTCCCTTTATATAAGCAGCAGCATGTCAACATGTTCAGTGGAAACGCAGCGTAAAATGAGGCCAGGCTACAGCCATGGAACAGGGGTGATATCGGCAGATATCACTTCTATCGAGAAGCCATCGCCACCGGGATGATGAAATCAAGCACTGGGCTTTCAGCCGTTCCCTTCCTTTATCTATATATTTTTCAACGCTTGCTCCTATTTTATTTTGTTTCAATTTGGTTTCGCTCTACTTTCTTTTTTAAAGGACAAAAGTGAAATAAATAATTAAAAACTGAGAGATGTACCCCACTGGAAGGTGCCCGAATGCTCCAGAAAGAGAATCCTCACCTCTTAACTTCTTTATTTTTATTATTTTTTTTAATAAACACAGTCCTGTTGCTCCCACTATCCCCAAACTTGTAATGTCCCCAGGTGCACCTCCCTACTCCCAAAAACCAGATATGTGTAGAGACAAATGTTTAAGAAACTGCTGAAGACTGAAAACAAACCGACAGACAAATGGGAAATTATGTCTATACAATAACCTAGTTCGCTCAGCTGATGAAGTGCGTCCACTCCCAAAATCAAGACCAGTAATCTCTGCAACCTCCTCCCCCCGAAAATACTACTAACCCATAGATAAACTGGCCTAACTTAACACCGATGACCATTTTAACTTAAACCTGAGACAGACGTAACACCCTTCTGGTTCACATTACATTTAATAACTCTATCTACCATCACGACAAACAAAACCTTTTGTGATCATTTTTTCCCCCACCAACTCGACATCTCTCTTAGACTTTTTACTGGTCTATTTAAGAGTTCGCCCCCTCAAAAAATAGCCCCTCAAAATACACAATAAGCAGGTATTGGAAAGCGGTTGTTTCAATATTCACCTTTTTAGGAAGGCTGTGTATTTACCACGAAACAATTCCGTGCAGTAAAAAAAAAATACAGGAAGAATCTAATATTTAGCAGAAACAGAAATAATTTCTTAAAACTATTTGTAACGAAGCGTTGAACAGTTTGATCATGGAAAGGTGGAAAGAGCTTGGAAAAGCGAAAGGCTCAAAGTGTCCTTTTAAGAAACGATTCGGTGGGTTTAGCCTGGCTTCTGCCTCCCCAGTCCTCTCGTCTTTCTGCTGCTGATCTCATGCCTAATCTTTTTATTGTTTTCTCGGGGGGGGGGGGGGTGGGGAGAAATCAGGAAAAAAAAATTTTGAAAGAGAAAAATTTCAATTTTAGCAAAATGCCCCTCAAAGAGCACTGGTTAAATATGTTCCTTCCTAGCTACAAAAACCTACAATTAAAATAAATTCAAAGAGTAAGCAAAAGACAAGTCACCTGCAAAGCACCAGTCAGTGCCCTTAGGTAGGAGAATTACATCACTCCGTGACCGAATGATGTTTTCTTTTAAATTATAAAGCAGGTGGATTTTTTTTTTTTCCCGACAGAAAAGGAGAAGGGAAAAAAAAAAAAAATCACACGACCACAGCGGTTATTTCACATACATCTTGCACGAAGGAAGCATTGAACCAACCTTTAAGGTCACTGACTGCCTGAAAACCCACAGCAGTCGCTCACGGTGGAAGTTTTCAGGCAAGACGACTACTAAATCATTAATACAAACAAATGGAAGGCGGGGAGGAAAGGCGCTACTGTAATAGATCCGAAGACTTGGAAGAAGAAAAATATTAAAGAAAAAAAAAACTTTAATCTTCAGCCTCTCTTCTTTCCTCATTAATAATTCTTTAAAGAAATCCTTAAGCTTTAGCCAAGCAGTAGGTAGGCTCTCTCTAAACGTCTCCCTGCTGTAACTCAGCGTAGCGTCTTCTTTTGCGAGAGGCCACCCATTTTCTACTCCAAGAAGCCCAGCCGTGGGAACTGCGATTTCCCAGTAACTCGAGAGAAAGGAACCGGGGACGGAGCGTCCCGGGTGGTCGTTGCGCGCCCGCTCCTCCCGGGCGGGCAGCGCCCAGCCCCGCTGGAGCACGGGGAGCA